GTTTGAAATGTCCACTGAAGAGAACCAGCATCACGACTGTGGTCACAGCAAATGTGATGTGAGCAGTGTCTGGTTCACATGATGGTGGACGGCTACGCTTGCTAAAACGTTCAGCAAGAAAAGACCGAAAGCTTTTTTTTATTTTAATCCAGCAGGGAGAACAATAGAGGTGTTTTTCTATGCCTCATGTGAGCAGCTCCAGCCTTTTTAAAAAGAAAAACAACGCAGACACGCTGATTAGAGTGCGGTGCGAAAGTGAAAGTAAAACATGTCGCAGCGCTCCCGTCTGGAAAAGAAACTTAAACACAGCTGTTCTCTCTTCCCTCATATTCCGACGCAGAGGGTAGAAACAGCTAAATTAGACAGTTAAAACACATTTGTAGTTCATAACTCACCCTTGTTGTTGTTAGTACTCTGTCTCACAACATTAGCTGCTGCGCTCTCCCCGGGGGGAGGGGCGGACACATGCGCTCGCGTGACCCAAAGAACGGATCGGCCGAACGGACAGTGTGTTGGCCGATACAGATACAAGGAAAAAACGCAAATATCGGCCAAAAATATCGGCCGGCCGATGTATCGGTCGAACCCCTACTGATAACTATTATCATGTGTCTTATATTTTTAAGTCCTTGAAGCTATTTAGAAATAATAGCATGGCACTTTTCAAATGTTCTACCATTAAAAAAAGAGGCAAACACTGAGTTGTGTGTTCTTTTGTTTGCTACAAGACTTGCATTACAGAAGTTGACAACCACCTAAAATGTGTATTTTGTACATCATTGTGTCCAGTTTAAGGCATTTATTAATAACTATGATTATTGACTTATGTAAAATAATCAAGCATATTTGAGTTTTGTTTTTTATCTACTTGTTAGGATGTTGAATTTTTAGTGTTTTAATTTGGGTGTCTTGTCTATTCAACCTTTTGATCTTTTGGCATTTAGCACACTGCAACCAAAAGTTATTGGTTAAATAGATTTATGGAATCAAATAGGTGCTGCAGATTTATTTTTTTATTTTTTTAAGTAATTGTAGACCTAAACTTGTGTCTAATTTGAGAATTGCCCGTTCCTTTCTCACAACAGAAAGCAGATTTCAGTAGAAAGTGACTGATTGAGAGAASTGTTCCTGCTGTTTCAGGTTGGGTGGTTTTGGATAGGTGCGGCCGACACTTTGAAGTGGTTTTGAACTTTCTGCGAGATGGTTTGGTGCCRCTTCCAGAGGACTACAGAGAACTAGATGAAGTCTTAAAAGAGGCTCAGTACTATCGAGTACAGGGACTTGTGCAGCACTGCCTCAGTGCCATGCAGGTAAATTTGAAATTTCACATTTCATGTTGACTTTAGCGGACATGAAAGATTTGTTGCGAGTACAAAAATCTGATTTGAAATATTTCATTAGTTCCAGATTGAAGCCGTTTGTTGAAAAGTCACTTTAGAACCTGTGTCATGTCAGAAATCACTTCTTTGTTCTCTCAGCTGTTTAGTGGATGCCTGAGTGAGCAGCAAATTAAAATTCAAGACAAAAAAAATTGTCGAAGAGCTTGAACTACTTTTTGGACCTTACTGGATGTTGCTCTCTAAATAATTCTGATATCAAATTAAATGTTCAGACACACACATACCAATTAAGTTGTGATTTTGTGTCATTTAATGCTATTTCATATCAGCTTAGTCATACTTTAATTATTTATTTGTCCTTATTTGTAAGGGAGGAAGTTATCATATTTGAATAAATCTTATTTTTATTTAGAAACAAAAGGATGTCTTTGAAAGTGTTTGCCGCATCCCTATGATCACTTCAGTCAAAGAAGAGCAGAGGATGATCGCTACGTGTAGAGAGGTAAAGTTCACTTTCATTTCGATCAAAAGTTCCTAAAGTAAATTTGAGGATTTTTCTTTGTGTAAATAAATCCTAAAGCATTTAAATCACTGAGTTATATCCTCTTTCTTGTCCACAGCCTGTAGTAAAGCTGCAGAACAACAGAGGAAACAACAAATACTCCTATACAAGGTGAACAGTTTGACTTGGTGTGTCTTAGTCATTTTACCACAAAAAATACTTGTTAATCTTTACAGATTTTTATATCACCTCTATGTCATTGTTTTGTCCTGCGTTCAGCAACTCCGACGACAACCTGCTGAAGAACATCGAGCTGTTTGACAAACTCGTGCTTCGATTCAACGGCCGCGTCCTGTTCGTCAAAGACGTGCTCGGGGATGAGATCTGCTGTTGGTCTTTCTACGGCGAAGGCCGAAAAATTGCAGAAGTGTGCTGCACTTCCATCGTCTATGCCACGGAAAAGAAGCAGACAAAGGTAGGCACAATGGGCCTCATGCAAGAACATGTTCGTATTTTTATCCTAAATTTCTCTTACTTTTGTTCGTACAAAGGGTTCGTACGAACATGTCACGTCAGATTC